ATCGGCCGCCTCTTCCAAATACAGTAGTTTTGAGCGCGGCCCGCCCAAAACGGGCGGTGATACGAATCGCCTCGGGGCGGGCCGGCGGCATCGCGGTGCAGGCACTGCCAAGGCATTGCCAAGGCACTGCAGTGCATCGGGGCGACCCGCTGCACTGATCGTGAGTCCCGAGAGATCGACTCAATCGGGGGAAACGGTTCCGATTTGCAATCGGCGTGGGAAACGCGGCCCATGTCCCCCTTGCAAGGCCTTGTCCCGCTCCCCTTCTCGCTGGGTCACAGGAGGAAGAGCCACATGTGGAAGCGCGGGTTGCACTTTCATCCCAGCGCTGCTGCCGTGTACATAGTGGGTCAAAGCTGGGCGGGCCGGCGGCGCGCCGCGCGCGGGGCAAATGTAGTGCAAGTGGCCGTCCCGAAAAGAACCGGCAGACATTCCAAACACAAAAACGGGTTGCATGCACTGGCCGCGCGGCCAGCGACCCACATCCCGTGTCATCCACGCAGCGGCCCCTCCCTGGGCCCCTCCTCGAGCCGCGGGGCGCGTTTACCTCGCGCACTTTGGCACTTCCGCCTAATAGTCCCCTACGCAAATAACATGTGGCGGGACACGCACGCTCGCTAGCGCAGCGGCCGGCGCAGCGGCCGGCGCAGCGGCCAGCGTAGCGGCAGCGTAGCGAAGCACTCCGGGAGCTAGCCAGCTAGCCGGGGCCGCGGCGTCCCACACGGCACTGCCGGCACTGCTACTCCCACTGATGACCCCTGACCAGCGGCCGGCAGTATGCCACTGGGACACATCCTGACTGATAGCGCGCCGCTTTCTCCCTCGAGGTGACGATGCCATCGCTCACGATGCGCAAGGTTTAATCGCCCGACCGGTTCGGGCTCAAAAACTATCGGAGAGACCGGAGGGACGATCGTGCACATTCCATATTTTCATAATAATCAAAACAGGTTGCTATTTGAGCAGCAGGAACTTCTAGGGTTTGTTTCATGTAACTTGAGAAAACGTTTTGAACTGTATTATTTTCCAAAGCAAAACTTTCCTCGGATAAAAAAAAACTGGATTGGGAACTAAAACGCCAACACGACATCCTAAGTACTTTAACCGTAGTTGCAACGAATCCAAAAATGATGTCGAGTCATTTCTTTGCGTGCCCCTAATGAGATTAGCCTTACAACGTGCAAATTTAAGCGAGACAATCGCGGCAGCCCGTTACACCGTGGCGCACACCTTCGAACGGGTCCCGGCCACCTGGGAACACCCAGCGCCGCCGCGGCCTCAGCGCCGATACTACGAGCCAGGACCTATTATTTCCCCTTTTTTCATCACGGAGAAAAAACTGCATGCTGCCGCAAGCGAGCAGAACTGATGTAATCCAAATAAGCAGGCAAGCCTTTCCGCCCAAAATTGCGAGGGATCCACTTCACAAAGCTACTAAGGCATCGCGGCACAAGTTCCGTCCGCCGCGATGTTTTTGGGGCCGCGCGCTGGGAGGTGTGGGTTGACAACCCCGCGTCCCTGAAGTGCTATTGATTGGGCAGGTCTTCACGGTGGCGACCGGTATTGATGGCTGCCACTTCTCCAGCCATCAACTTCCACGTGCGACCTCGGCAAGCCGGCAACGTCTCCATCCCCTCACAAAATATGCACGCTGATAAGCGCCTTACGCAAAGTGCGCAAAGTGCGGCCACCATTGTGGCGGCCACCGCCCCAGACCGGTGCGTGCGTGCGCGTGGTTCGCACGAGGTGTAGTTAGTGCTTTTGCCTGGCGGCGGGGCGGGGCCGGCGGGGCACACGGCCAGGGCAGCCAAAGGGCTCGGCCGGCTCGGCCAGACAGGTGCACAGGACTTGGCTTCCCAGCAGAAAATGAAACGCGATCCCTTTTCTTTCCCGCGGATATATCAGCACGCCGTGATGGCATCACGACGACGGCGGCGACGGCCATGGCCGTGCCAGGGTTGCAGGCGGTGCTACTTGCCACACCAGGGGCCTGCGCTGGGCCGCGCTGGGCTGCGGTCGGGTCCCCGTTGTTCCTATCTGTGTCAACATAACACGTTAACCTCAGCCGTGCCGAGCTGCCAGCCAAAGCACACGGTGCTGCACACCATCAAGCTCGGCCTGCTGCAGGCCGCCTGCAGGCCAGCCCGGCCAGCCCCGCGGGGTAAAGACCGGGCTGCATGCGAGCGTGCACTGCGGCTGTGGCCGAGCGGCCGAGAGTCTGCGGCTGGCTGGCGCAGACTGGCGTGTCGCTCGCGAGCACCACTTTGTAAGCCAAGTGCTCATTACTCGTCAAAGAACGGGTGCAAAGAGACCAGGCAAACACGTGGACGGGGAAACAAGACGCGCATAAAAGTCAGTCTGGCGGGCGTCGCGTCGGCGGCTGTGCGGCGAGGGGGCGTAGGGCTTGGCGCAGGGCGCGGGGACGGATTCGTCACTCTCACTGCAGGGCGCTGCGGGGCGCTGCTGCGTTGCTGCTCGCTCCGCGACGGCCCCTCCACGCCCCTCGCCACCGCAGTCTCGCCGCAAAGGGTCACCGGCAGGCGAAGGGCCACCAGTCAGCCGAGGAAAAAGGGCCCCGGAGTATCAGTCAAGGAGGTCGTGCCCGGCAGCCCGGCGGGCCAGGCACGGCTAGGCAGCCCGCAGCGCGGCCGGCCGGTAGCGGGGCCACGGGGCAGTAATCCAATCCACAGCCAGCCAGGCCGCGTCACTGCGCTAACAATGTCGGTAACGAGGCGGTGATGGAAACGCTCATGTGCGCTGACCGCTAGCCGCCCCGCCGCGCCACGCCCCGCCACCGCTCGGCGCCTACACCCACCCCGCGACCCACTAACTGGCCCTTCGTGAGTCAGGTATCAATTTGGGCCCACTGTGTCCGCGCTCGCCGTGCAGGCCAGCCCTCCAGCCCTGCAGCCCCGTCCCTGCCGTCCCGGCCCCCCTCTTTTTTTTCCTTCTCACTCTTAAGCGGCGTCGGAAGGCGGCCAGTGCCGCGCGGTGCCGCGGCACACACGAGTGCAGCACAGTGAAGCGGCCCGTTTGGTGTCGCTAGGCTAACGGGTTCCGTCGGTCAGGACGAAACCATATCCGCGCTGGCCGTGGCCCTGGCCGTGCCCAAGGCCCCCCGGCGCGTCGCGGCACGTCGCGTCTCATGGGCGAGGGCGACGCCGGCCGACAAGAAGCAGGAGGAGAAAACGGTAGCGCTACGCGTCGGCGCCGCCGGCCGGGGTCGAGTCCGGCACGCCATTGGGCGGGCGCCATTGGGCCTGACCCGCGCGGCCCGGCGACGCCGCGGCGGCAGAGGCGCCAGCAGCGCTAGTCGGGGCGGCGGGTCATTCCTTCGGATAGTAAAACAGCGTCCAAAGGCCTCGGCGCCTCGCGGCCAAAAATATAAACAAGCCGGATTTACGCCGCGACGCTCCAGATGAAAGTTCCGTGTCGGCAGTGTAGCATCGCAAATAGCTGCGCTCGCGCTGCGCTCGGCTCGAACCGGTTGGCCGCGTGTTGTCAGGCCGCGCAGCGCCGCGCACCGGCCAGCGTCAATGTGACCTGATACACAACATGGAGGTATGCCCGCAGCCCGACTCGGCCCCGCCCGGCCCGGCCCGGCGAGCAGCGCGCGCCCAGAAATTGGTCATCACTATCTCTCTCGCGCGACCCCGAAATTAGCCGCACCCTTAATTCGTATTCCAGAGCAGGGCCGCGGGCCGCGCGTTCCGACGCTGCACTCCGCAGCACACCGTCCACCACGCGCTCCAGGTGCCCGCGCCTCCCACTCCCCGAAGCCTCCGTGTGACTAATGAATGGCAGCGTCACATGATTCGGAATAGCAGTAAACCACACATACACACACACAGTAATTGTTGATGAGTAGAGTACACACACTAGGAAATTGAGCGGCGTGCCGTACGGCTATGTCATTTCCCGGGAATGCTGCAAATGACTCCCCCGTCTTTTCCCTTTCACGGCCCTGCAGAGCGGTTCCTGCCGGTTCCCGCGCGTTACGTGTGTGGCGCTGCCTGGGCGCTCCACGGATGTATCCCGTTACTACAATGGCATTGCTTTCCGAAGATGAAAAATTTCGCGATCGCGCGCGGCTATAGCGAATGACACAGTCTGAGCACATGATTGCCATAAACAAGCCAACCCCAACCTGCCGCCACCCCATATCGGGTCGAACTGGTTGCAGCCTCCGCGAGCTCCGGAACTATTATTTTTTCCTCGGGCTCAATCCTTCTTCAGGCTTCGGGCTGAAATAATGCGCCTTCGGATTGCCTCTTTGTTCGAGACAGGCTATTTCTCGCAAATCTCCTCGGGAGTCGAGTGTGTTATTTATACCTTTTCGACATGCCCGTATTGAGCGGGCTTTTTGCGCCAAGTAACGGACTGCCTTTGGCAGCCCAGCCTTGGCTCGATTGACGGAGGAGGGCTGATTGAGATTTTCAGTCTCGGAAACGAAACCGAGTTTCCCGTTTACTCATCTAGCCTCGGTATTCGCAGCGCGCGCGCCGTTTAAATTGTGGCGGCTTGTGTCGCGCTGCCGTCGACAAATCATGATAATTACTAGCCGCCTGTCGTCGCGTGTATCTAAATGCAAATCAGCGCGAAATGAAGACTAAACTCTTGAAATCTCGCCGAGGTTATCGCGTGCATTGCACTGCATGCACGCGCCATATTTCAGGGAAGATAACGGCGCAAATGGAACCGCTAAATGTCGCAAATGGTTCAATCTCATATCTCCGGCCAGCCCCCCCTCTCTCTCTAGAGTAGACCCGCCACTGCGGATCAAGATGACTGCATGCTAAAACAAAAGAAAGGGCTTTGTGAAGCCCTGCACCGCTGCACGTTTCCAGGATCCGCTATAAAAACGCACGATCGCCATAAAGGACCCTTGAGGGCACTTCATCGTGCGGCGCGTGGGCCAGCTTGACGAGTAGCCGCTAAGTGAAGCCCAAACACTCCGCCACGCACCTGATTCCTAACGGACTTCCCTTCCTCTGTTCCAGGCGCCCTCAGCAGGTCGCAGTTCCCCGTGTTCACGATCTACGCCCAGAAGAGCTGTCTCGGCGTCAAGCCCTGCGAGCGTGCCTGGTGCTTCGACCGCGTGCAGGGATACCAACTGTCGGGATTCACGCGAAAGCAGACGCCGGCAGCGTCGCGGCAGGAGTGCCTGGAGCTGTGTCTGGGCGAACGAGAATTCCCCTGCAGGTGAGTCAAGCGAGTCATTTTGTCTTTTTGTCGAGGCGCGAGGCCAGCCAGTCTTCCTTTGTCTACGTAGCCCGAGCAGCCCATGCAGCGCGGTCAACTAAATACCGACAGCGTCATTTCGCTCCTCGCAACGCGGCAGGTTCCAAACGCGTCCAGCACACCAGTTCAAAACTCTGCCGCGCCTTATCTGCGAATAACGTTTCCGCCGCATTCCGAGGCCGGCAGGGACTGGGGCCGTCGGGCCGTGGGGCCGTCTCGGAGGCGATACGAGGGCTGCCCGCGCGGCGCAGCGCAGCGCCCCGACGGGGCCCGCCAGCCCGCCAGGCTGCCAGCGCCAATCAGGCATCAAGAATAGGACATAAACCTCCGAATAGCACCGCCAAGCCGCATTCCGTGCGCCGCCTGCAGTCAAAATGTCCAAACCGTAAGGACACCGCACCGCGCCGCGGCCGCGCCGTGGCGCCCGCCATTGTTCCGCTTGTCACGGACGCGTCACGGACGCGTCACGGACGCGTCACGTCCACGCGCTACGCTCGCGTGTAGTCCGAGTCACGTTAGAGCGTTACACTCGCGATGCGTCCGAATTTCACGTGCGTTAAATCCAATGTCACTTCCACGCCACAGGTTCGCGAGTCAAATTCGCGTTCGCGTCACGCTCGCGTCACGGTGGCAAGTTACGGTCGCGTCATGTCCGCTGCAAGTTACAGCCGTGTCACGTTCACAATCGGTACGGTCACGTCACACTAGCGTCACACGTCCGCGCGTCGCGTTCGAAGAGCACCCAGCGGCAATTACTATTTCCGCTTGAAGTAAAAGGGCCCTAACGACATCTGCCTCACGTCACACCCCGCGTCATCGCGCTTGCAATGAAGAGAGTGGATGCACGTAACGGTGTCGGCCGCGGCGGTGCGGGGCGGGGCGGGGTGGTCGGGTGCGGCGAGTGTGGACTCTTCCCAGGAGACGATCCACCCAAAGATTAGGGAGCAACCAAATAGACTCGGTCGTGTAGGCTGCCCCCAGCCGCTGCCCCCCCCCCTCTGCCGCGGGTTTGCAGTTACATTTTCACGCCGTGACCGCGCCTCATTAAAGTCCGCCCGGAAAGGCAAATTAGCTTACTAATTGCGAGGCTATGTCTCAGTCCTAGCCTAGACTTTGCGCGCATGTCCTGCGAAAAAAAAGGGGGAAAACAATAAGCGCGCCATGCAAACGAGACGAAATGAAAACCTATTAGAAGCCGTGCCACACCCTTAAAGCACGCCTGTACGACACGGAGGGGTCCCCCCAGGTCCCCCTGGTGCCCCCGCAGGGGCCCGCAGAGGGACTCCAACACGCCGCGCGGTTCTATTTGCACACACGACCAATGCTCCTGTAACGCCACGCCACGCCACGCTCCCGCCACGCTCCTGTTTACTCGCTTATCGCGGGGAATCGCACACGGCACAGCAGACGCCTCCCGCCAAGAAATAAGGAACGAAAAAAAAAAAACACAGGCAGAAAAAGGAAGAAGGAAAGAAAGAAAAGAATGACGCTGTGCGCGCCACGCCGTCGCCCTGGACAAACAAAATGTGCGCTTGGGGGACAGTACGGGGTAACAGCTCGGAAACCAGTTCAGCAATTTAAAGCACAGCAGCCGCGGCCGGCCGCAGATCCTTCTTCCTTTTTTCTGCAGTGAAATTTTCATAGGATCAAAGCTGCCGATATACACGCGGTGGCGACACCCGGCCGGCGGGGCAGCCAGTCGGGATGCATTCCTCGGTGAAGTCATCCTCGATATCTTGCGAAAAGGCGGCCTCATAATGATAAGCCGCCGCCTATCATTTCCAGCACTGAAACGTAATAGATACGTGTGACACCGCCGCCGCAGTGCCGCCGTGCCGCCGCGGACCTTCGCGCGCGCGGGATCATTTTCACAATTAATTGGAAAACGGCGAAACAATAAAAGCGAGACGCATCCTTGCAAGGCCGGGGCGTGGCGTGGCGGGGCGGGGCGGGGTGTGGGGCCGGTGATCGCACGGGGGCAATCCCCCCCAAGCACCGCGGATAATTGGCACAGAAGGCGATGCAGAACGGACAGTAATTCCTCTACTTTCTGCGCTTCAAATTTCACGTCATCGGCCTCGCTGCCTCGCTGGCGCGCTGCCTCGTGGCGGGACGGCCCGAGCTGGCAGCCGGATGGATGAAGGCCAGCCGGTCCGCTAACTAGGATGCCCTATCCTAGACACAGCTCAAATTTTCCTTCCTGATGAACGTCATTAGAAGCGTCCGAGCGCGGCGCGGCGCGGCAGGTCCTCTCTGTTTAGCGGAGGTGACAGGACAGAGTACTTCCTGATCAAGCAAGCCATTAGCTTTCTCGCAATAAAGCTCGGTAATTCGTTAACGAGGAGACGGACGCTCTCACGTCCCATGGGAATGGCACGAGCCTCTCTATGAAGCGGCGTCGGACGCCGTGCCGGGGTCACCCTACCTTCCTTCCCCTCTCTCGCGCTCCATTCAAAGATTCGCCGGCCGCTGCACCCGAAGCTGCGCGCCAGCCGGCCGGCCGGCCCAGCCGAGCTCGGTCTAACTGGACTCGATAGTTTCCGAATAGATAATGACTGCACCAAGCTGGGCGGTCTGGTCGGGGTGCGCTGGGCACGGCCGGCGCAGCCTCCGGCCGCTGCGGCTCGGCTGCGGCTCGGCTGCACTCGATCTACTCGTCAGCTCGGCACAGCTTTACTTCGATATGTAACCAACGGCTATTATGGCCGTTTCAAAAAGTGGCGTTTATAAAATCGTTACTCCGAGTCGTTAAAGTAGTTAGCGGCGTGCGCTCATCGCCGCGCTGCCTCGCCGCGCTGCCTCGCCGGCTGTGGCGTACGGGACGCGCCTCGCACGCAAAGGCGGGGCCGGGCGGGGCCGGGCGGGGCCGGGCGAGGGGCGTCAAACGCCAGCACTCGAACACACTGTGAAAAAGTTGCGCAGCAAATGCGCGCATGCATGAAGCGAAGCGCGGAGAGCGGCCGAGCCTTTACCGAGTCCATCCCGCTACTGTTCGCGGGACGGGGTCGCGGTGCGTGGCGGTGCCCGCCTCTTCAATACGTCCGGCGCGGCATCGGCTCGGCCAAGGCGGTGCGGGGCTCGCACAGCATGTTCGCCGCTTCACCGCCACCGCAGCGTCCAACGGGGCTACGGCCAGGCCCACGGCCAGGGCCACGCCTGCTCATCTTCGTACAGTAAATCAATGCCGCGGCGCGCGGGCACGTGCTCGCCCTTTGGCAACGCGTTTCCGCCTCGCGATGGCGGAGGTGTCGCCAAACTGGCGAAGGCAGGCCTTTTGCCGGCAGCACACTTTCCAACGGCCTATGAAGAAAAGCGACGTCGCAAAAAGGCGAGATGAGGCGTTCCAGCGTTCCACCTGACACTTGCCCGATCAACTCATCAGCCGCGACGCGCGCGTCCGTTTCAGCCTCAAACTGCGGCGCGACCCGCCACGCCCCGCCACGCCACGCCACTCCGCGTCAACCAGGAAGATGGCCCGCTCATTTCCAAGTCGCTCTCTGAAAGAAAGAAAAAACTTAATCGAATTCACCATTGGAGAGACGGACTTTCTCCAGCCCTAGGTATGTGCCTGATATGGCTGTCACTGCACAGGGGAGGCAGCGCAGGCCGAGGCAGGGCGGGCAGGCAGGCAGGCAGGCAGGCAGGCAGGCAGGCAGGCAGGCCAGGGGGCCAGTAGGCCGCGCCACGTCGCGACGCCGCACCGCAGCGAACCGCATGGAGACTTCAACGACCGAGAGGCACGACAGTACGCACAGCACGCCGCGGTGCCGGCCGGCCGGCCAGCCCTACGGCTCGCCTTGGCTCGGCTCGCCTTGGCCAGCCTTCGCGCTCGCCTGACCGGGCCAGGCCGCTGCTTCGCTGCTTCGTGGCCAAGTCAACCTCAGAAGCATTCGGTTCGAAAAAGGGGAAGAAAAATGAGCCCGCAGGACCTCCTCCGTGTCGCATGCCCGAAAAGAGGCCTGGCTATCTGTATCTCGGGACTAGTTCCAGGTCATACGCACAACTTTCCCAAGGTCTCCCCGAAACAGCACTGCGAGGAACCGGCCGGGTTCCTTTCTCATGTACAGGGCAGCCCGGCTAAACGAGCGTTTGCCTTATCTCCCCAAGCGAAAGTCTTTCCATTTTTGAGCAGCACTGCGAGCCGCGCACTGCGAGCAGGGTAGCTGGCCCACTGGTATACGCCGTGGTGGGGCGCGGTGGGGCGGGGCGCGGCGGGGCGCGCTACACGGCAGCCCGTCGTCCAGTCATTAACAGGACCACACGCACACGGTCACGACTACACTCCCAATTCCCTCGCCAAAGGGCGCGTCGCGGCGCGAAGCACAGCGTGGTCCGGCGACGTGTGAGATCGCCACTTGGCTCACCGCGGGGCCCGGCCTGCTATCCGCCCGGCCGGCTACACTGTCGTAAAAGGGAACCATGCATAACGGCGCCCCGTGCACAGCCTGGGCACACGTCTCAGTCTCCGCCCGGCGACGCGTGCCAAAAAAGCTCGCAAACTAATTGGCTCAAATGGCCACGTCCAGCGGTAGGGCGCGCTCTGCCGACGCCGGGGCGGGATGCGCGCCGCGGGGGAGAAAAAATGAAGCATCCTTGTTAGAGAGAACGGGGCCCTCGCGTGGTTAGCATTATTTCTAGCGAAGCTTTTCCGACACTAAAAAAGTCTTCCGACCGAGCTGCCGCCGCCGCTGCCGGCCAGCAGGGCGCGCTTTTGTTCGGAACGGGGTCAGAAGCGCTAAGCGCCGCGCCGGGGCTGGCCGCCGAGCCGACGCGCAGCCGCGGACTGAAGGACGTCGGCCGCGTCCGCGGCGTCGTCGGGGCGGGTCCAGGACGCCGGGCCGGCAGCCCCGCAGGCCGGCCAGCGGCGAGGCAGCACCCGCACGGCGACCCGGCAGCCCTCTAGGCCAGGCCTCTAGGCCAGGCCGGCCGGGCACACTGTTTCGCCAATTTATGCGCTATTG